GGGCGCGAGGAGGGCTGCAAACTGCTGCCTCCTAGCCACTGTGTATGTCTCCTCAGGACTGTACTTATGGCACCGAGATCATCTCCAAGTGGAAGAGCCTCCTTGAGAATGACCAGCTGCTGTCCCACGGTGGGCAGGACCTTTCAGCAGATGCCTTTCACAGGTACTGCGTGCAGGGAGGGCGAGGCACTCCTGCCACTGTCTTCCAGGGGACTGGGAACGGGAAGCACTGCCTGCTGAGGAAGTGTGTGGGGCGCTGGCCTTTATTAGCCCTCTGCCCCTGTGGCACTACCCTGGGAGCTTCACCCTCCTCCATTCGTTTCACCCTACACTTGTCAAGTGCCTACTGAGGGTCACATGTGCGCTAGGCTTATCCTGGCAGTAAAGCAGGCGGCCTTACAGCCGTGCAGGAACTGGAAAAGGCCGGGAGTAAGCAGTCGACAGATAAACCCTAGGGGCAATCTGGGCACAGCGGTAGAGACTAACGAAGGTGTATACCTCTAGGGGGTGGTTTGAGGCAGAGGTCTTGGGGTGACATTTAATCTAACCCAAAGGGTAAGAGGTGTCAGCTGTGCACATCAGCGTGGGGCCTGGGCTGATGGCTCTCTGCCTGGATTTCCAGGTTGTTGCCCTTTTCTCTGTCTAGAGGAGCGTGTGTGGTGTACTTTGCATACTGTGAACCCAGTCAGCACAGTTCCCCAGCCTGCCCTCTGTCTTTCTCCCGTAGGCTGATATGGGAAGTCTGGATGCCTTTTGTTCGGAATATTGTCACCCAGTGGCAGCCCAGGAACTGTGAGCCGATGGTGGACTTCTTGGACAGCTGGGTGCACATTGTCCCCGTGTGGGTCTTGGATAACATACTGGACCAGCTTATCTTCCCCAAGCTGCAGAAGGAGGTAGGGCCAGGGCCTGGGAAAGAGCTCATGCGTGACCATGTGGACTCGTTTAGCATTTCTCTTCATCTCAGTGCTACTAAAGCGCCTGCAGTTAACAGAATGTGTCAGTACAACTGTTGTCCTGCCTTAACTCCGGCTGTTTTATCAGCACGTTCCTCCCCAAAGCCCCCATGAATTGGGAATTCATTTCCTTGGTTTCTTTCTTAAAATTAAAACTGCCATTTCTGAGATGTACTGCAGTTGCATGGGAGTATTTATTTGTGGGTCAGTGTCTCTGTTTTAGGAAATGTGCAAAATGCCTACCAAGCACCTTGGCTGCCTCTGTTCCTAATGTGTCCCTCCATAAAACAAAGACCACGTCTCCCACACATGCAAAGGACTAGATGTTGGCCAAGAGAGCACATGGCGTCCTCGCCATTAACCACACAGGGCATCATGTGACTGCCCCACAGGCTGTGTGAACTGTTCCCCCCCACTTCTCCTGCAGGTGGAAAACTGGAATCCACTCACGGACACCGTCCCCATCCACTCTTGGATCCACCCGTGGCTTCCCCTCATGCAGGCGCGCCTGGAGCCACTGTATTCCCCCATCCGTAGCAAGCTGTCCAGTGCCCTGCAGAAGTGGCATCCTAGTGACTCCTCTGCCAAGCTCATCCTCCAGCCCTGGAAAGATGTCTTCACCCCTGGCTCCTGGGAAGCATTCATGGTCAAGAACATAGTGCCCAAGCTGGGTAAGGAAGTGGGGAGGGACATCCCAGTCCAGCAACTTTGGTGCGTTGGTATCTCTGGGCCAGCTTAATGATTGTGCCTCTTAAAACAAGGCCTTGGACTGTGTGACAAAGCTTAGCACATGGCATTTCTCACTGTAAGAGAGGTGCCATTTTTGTGCACTGAGGCTGAATGTAAATGAAACCAGGGTCCTTAAGGCAGTGACTAAAAGGCTGTGGTGACCTTGTCAGACTCAGCATGCCTCCTGGTTTCTGGTTGGTCTGATTTGGGCTTCTGGTAACAGGATAGCCATTAGTGTTCTGAAATTCCCGTGGTGTTTGATTCTAAATATAAGAATTATTTCTGGGTTAGAGAAAAAGATGACCTTTAAGAATTGGTGTGTCAAGAACTTCAAATGGACCTTTAAAAGCAGACCAAAGACTAGCACTGTGTGGTGAAGACTGTGCACTTTGTGCTTCTGTGGCTTTGCCTTAGGGCAGGGATGGGGCACGTCCGCCCTGGGCCCTGTACTGCATTTGGTCTGGCCCCGCCAAGGCAACTGCAGGTGGAACTCGAAATTCAATAAATTTAGGAGCTTTTTTCATAGCTAATTTTTATGTTGATCATTTTGTATGGTCCTTGAACGATGTTATAAATACCCAAATGCCCTTGGCAGAAAAATGGTTCCCCACCCCTGCCTTAGAGATTGGCTTTCTCTTGCAGGTATGTGTCTTGGAGAGTTGGTCATCAACCCCCACCAGCAGCACATGGATGCTTTCTACTGGGCCATCGACTGGGAAGGGATGGTGTCTGTCTCCAGCCTGGTGGGGCTTCTTGAAAAGCACTTCTTCCCCAAGTGGCTCCAGGTCTTTTGCTCTGCCTTTTTGGGGGTGGGATGGAGGCAGGGAAGGGAAGAGTCACTTAATTCCTGGATAACCGTCAGACAGTGGTGCTGTGACTACATACAAAAATGAGTTACATGGGAGGATAGGAATGAGTTGAGCAATAACAACTGGCTGCCATTTATTGACCATTTGCCATGTGCCAGATGTTCTAAGCACTTAATTTGTATCATTTTGGGGTAGGGACTGTGATCCCTGTTGTACAGACAGGAGGCTGAGGCTCAGAGTTTACGTGCAAGGAGAAGGCACTTAGCCACCAAGCTGACTCCATATTCCACACTCCTGAGTGCCTGCCCCATAAGTGGCACCAGCTTGTAGGACCAGGATTAAAAGAAAACGGCCCCTTTAGACGTTTTGCTTCCATTTATTGCCACTGTGGATGCGAGTTTCTTATTTGTTCCTTTTTGACAGGTGCTGTGCTCCTGGCTCAGTAACAGCCCAAATTATGAGGAGATCACCAAGTGGTACCTGGGCTGGAAGTCCATGTTCTCAGACCAAGTGCTGGCACACCCATCCATCAAGGACAAGTTCAATGAAGCACTTGACATCATGAACAGGGCGGTGTCTTCCAACGTTGGTGAGTGGGGTTCTGTGTGGGGTATCCCTGCCCTGAGCTTCATGTTTCTGAGCATGTAAATGACACAATAGTTTTCAGGTGCCTGTGGGCTGACTCAAGTGTAATGTACCCTCCCCTCCAACAGACACTGACTCTTAGCCACCAGGCCGAGTTATGTAGCTGGCACCCACCACCAGCTCTCCTGTGACTGGGAGGGCATCTGTCCCAGAATGGAGACAGATTTAAGCAGGACTCACACTGTGTGGGTCTGCCTCCAGGGCCCACCTTCGTAACCACTGTGCTGTGGGCTTTTTAGGGTTCACTAATGGCGTCTGCTCAGCCAGCGTTGGGTGTGCTACTCAAATGTAACAGCTCACAGTGTGCAGTCAGGGCACAGTCAAACTCAGTTGCTTAATCTCAAAACATTTTCTTTAATTGTGAAACAGTAACAATACTGACCTTCTAGGTTCTGTTAAAAACCTAAAGGGACTGAGTTACTGGGAGTGGTGTATATAGCAGTAGATGTCTTTGTTGTGTCAGAACAGTTGACTGTTCATTTAACACCTATTCCCCTACTGCTCAGTTCTAGGTAAGTCACTCTGCCTCGATCAGTTCCAGGAGCTTCCTCAGCCCATTTGTGTCACAGTGCTCCCCTCTCAAAGCATCTCCTCTAACCATCAACAAGGCTGAGCCTGTTCAAGGTCACAGTTTAGGAGTGGCAGCTGTGATTGGAATTTGTTTCCTGAGTCTTTAATTCTTTCTACTAAGCCTATTACATGAAAACAGAGTTAGAATTCATAGATTTAATTATATACTGTGCTTAATGAGGCAAATGTACCATGCTCTCTACTTGTCCAGGTCCTTAGGGGACATCAGTGGGCCGTCTCCATTTCCATACTCTAGATACTTCCTTCAGCCTCCTGGCCCCAAGCTCCTGGACTGCTTCCCCTGTCCCCTCTGCTAGCACTGGGCGCTTATGGTCCTGTGTTATCTGCCCTTCAACACCTATGTGTCAGCTCCCACATACATTTACAATTCTTCCAGGGCCAGAGCCTGTCTGGGTAAGTTAAAAATGTAACTAGTACAGGCCACCTGTTTTCTAGGCTCTACAGTTTGCCTTTTGGGCTGTGTAGTGAAAACTACCAAGAAAGAGGTGGGAATGGAATCTGGCCACTAGGTATTAGCCAGAAACCTGCAGGCCGGTTTTTAAGCAGTTCCAGCCAGGCGTCTAGGGGCTTGCTTGCCTGCCTAGTGCTTTGTGTGTCTGAGGCACAGCTGCCCTTCAGTGAGGAACAAGTAGGTCTCATAGAGATGGCACGTGTGGGACATCCAGATGCAGCCCAGTCCTGGCGTAGATTCCCGACATAGATTTCGTGAGTGCCAGAGACCTCTCCTCACCCCGCCCTCTCCCCCAGGTGCCTACATGCAGCCCGGAGCTCGGGAGAACATCGCCTACCTCACCCACACAGAGCGGAGGAAGGACTTTCAGTATGAGGCCATGCAGGAGCGGCGGGAGGCCGAGAACATGGCCCAGAGGGGCATTGGCGTGGCCGCCAGCTCTGTGCCCATGAACTTTAAGGACCTCATTGAGACCAAGGCTGAGGAGCACAACATAGTCTTCATGCCTGTCATCGGAAAGCGACACGAAGGGAAGCAGCTCTACACCTTCGGCCGCATCGTCATCTACATCGACCGGGGTGTGGTGTTTGTCCAGGGCGAGAAGACCTGGGTGCCCACCTCCCTGCAGAGCCTGATTGACATGGCCAAGTAGACTGGCAGGCCTGGCGCAGGCCGGACCTTGCACCTGAGAGGGACACGTTTCTGACTAAATGATATTAAACCACCTTTGAAAGTAACTTCTCTATTTAGTGGCCACTCCCCACCAGGCCAGGTCACCAAGAAAGGCTGTGAAATGTGGTAACGCTGCTTTAGAAGTGCATAAAACTTTATACCAGTTCTTCTGCAGTCCTCTCCACACAAGAGCCAAGCTGAGGGGTTTCCTGTCCTCTCCAAACCTGGCCCACTGTAGACAGGAGCTCCCTGCAGTCCCTCCATGGCAGCCTCCCCTTCAGTGTCTGGCCTCAGCCAGCATTGAATACGTCATGGCAAGTCTGAGCCAGTAGCTGGAGGGTCTCCTGTCTTGTTCCTGATGATCTCAAGGTCCTCAGAGTCCTGATACTCTGGTTCTTCCCGAAATGCCCAGGTGTCTGTGGAGAGCTGCTTCAGCTTTTGGACAGGGAACCAGTGGACAGAGGTGTCATTAAATGTGTCCATGTACTGTGAAGTCTGGGGAAACTCCTGCTCCTCCAGTCCTTTGGAAATCTGAGCAGAAAAATTCAAAGTAAGAAAGTATAAGCTTGATAGTCACAGTAAACCCCACTCTGCCTTTGGTTAGTCCCGTGAGCTCCTGCCTATATGCGTAAGGGCAGAATTCGTCAGTGACGGAGAACTAGGAGGACTTCACACCCTCTCCCCTCCCAGCCCCTTCAGCCAGATGGATACCTTGGCAACATAGGCATAATTTTTCTGCAGGATCCTTGTCAGTAGCCTAGAAATAAAAATTTTAAATGCATGACTAGGAGGTACAAGAGTGGTTTTATCCAACTTTAGACATATGGAGAGAAAATGATTTAAATATAGCAAGAACTCTTAACAACTGGGGATGTAGAGTAGGTGATCAGTAAATAGAATTGTGACTGTCCCAGTAACCACCCATTTCATCAAGGGAGAAATGACAGTGGAAACCTAAGCATCGTGAAAGAGGACACATAGAAATCCATGTTGTTAATGGTTTTTCCCCATTAAAAAAATCCTGCCCACCGTAAGGGAAGGGAGGAGTTCCTGGCAAGGACCCCTTAACTCGCGCTGCAGGGTCCATCTTTCTCTTGCCCTCTGTCCAGCTTCCGGTGCAGATGCATTTCCAAGGACCAGTCCTGGAAAAGCGTTCTGCTTGTGGGTCTCGGACCAGCGCACCCCAAGGCCTGACGAAGCTCAGCGTTCTCAGGCTTACCTTTCCTCCAGGCCTTTGAAACTGTTCCCAATGATGAGCATCTTGGACAGGGCATCTACTGACCAGTTGCTCCACAGAAGGTTGTTGTAGAGGGCTGTCCCACAGTGCAGCATGTAGAAGATGGTGGGCTCACCGCAGACACTCCGTTTGCCTTCCTGGGGTGAATATGCACGCATGTAAACACTTCGCACAACAGGGTGAGGGAGAGGTAATAAGGGTTCTCACCACACACACAAAATGAAAATGGAATTATGTGAAGTGACGGATGTGTTAACTAACCTTATTGTCATCATTCTGCAGTATGCATGCATCACGTTGTGCACCTTAAGCTTATGAAATTCTGTGTGTCATAACACAGCTCGGGGAAAATGAGCTGAGAGGACAGCAAATTGAAGAATGAAATGGAGGAAAACTACATTCCACTGGAATCGTCACATTAGCAATGACTGTGAAATCTATGACATGGAACAGAGTCAGGAGATCGTGTCTGTAAGGAACTCATGTTTACTTAACAGATGACCCATGAACACAGCTCTGGGTCAATGAAAAGGCCTCTTGGGTCCATGATAGCATGGGCAGGAGGGGTGGCAATGGTTACTGTCTCCCATGTACTGTGTCTAGTGATCTCTTGTGCTTCCTGTGTCACTTTCTGCAGGTCCCTATCACAACTATTGCTCCATAGCCAAACTCCCTGGCAGGGAACATAAGGCCCTCCATTTGCTGTCTGGCCCCTGCTACCTCTGGGCCTCTCCTCTTTCCACTCTTCCTGCAGCCTCCCTCCTGTTAATAACACACTGGCAGTGGTTCCTGAGCAGCCAGCTCGGCACAGGCTGCCTACAGCCCTGGTCCTGGCCCTCCAGCAAACTCTCCCGGTCAACCTTCAAATCCCAGCTCAGACCCAGGAAACTTTCCTCCATCCCCCTAAAGAGAACACGTTTCCTTCCCATTTCAGTTTCTAGTACGTGGTTCCACCTCGCTGTCCAATTGATCATTCACTTGTTTACATGCCACATGCCTTGATATGACCCCTGAAGAGAGGGACTGGCTCCTGTTTACCTTGGTCTCCCCAAAGCTTCTTGCCCAGCATAGAACAGGCACTCAGAAGAGATGATCTGAATGAAATGGCAGTGTTTTCCGCCCTTGCCAACACTGGCAAACAATTCTCTTGTCTCAGCTGGGCCTAATTTTCATGTTTCATAATAAGCCACGGAAAGGCAGTTTTTCAGAACAGAGAAGAACCAAATGATTATTTCAATCCCCAAGACAAATACAAAACTAAATTCAGACGTATCTGCCTACACTGGCTTCAGTCCTCTGCTTTTAAAATTATTTTCTTTCTTCCAGGTCTCAAGAAATTTTAAATCCCAGCTATTTTAGGGTATGCAGGGGTGGACTGAGGCTTCACAACTCAGCCAGATGCTGTGGGTGTGCCTGACTACAGCTCCAAAGAGGGGAGACGTTCTGTCCCCTTTTATTGCCTCCCTTGGAACAGGGTGAAGTTCAACCAGGAAGCCTTCATTTAAGGCACTGAGATTGTGTGCCCTTTTAATATTTTATACCAACAGTAAATACCAACTTGGCCTGATTTCTGGACAAAGACTCCTCATAAAAATTTTGTAAACATAACATGTTCTGGTTCATGCCATTTGTGTAAGTTTTACTTTTCTCAGATGGGCACAACAGGCAAAATGTGGGTAACTGACTGGGACAGCAGCAGGCAGAGGGAAGGAAGGGCTACTGTTTCAAAGGAAATGCATTCACGGGACAGAGCCAGGGTCAGCTGTCAGCAGTTACACGGCCCTCCCCGCTCCCCTTTCCTGAACCACTCACCTCATTCTCACTGAGGACAGTCACCCCAAGGGTGTTAAGAACTGCAATTTCGAGTTGGCTAAACAAGGGGTCATACACCCAGCAGTGACTTCTGGGAATCTGTAGGAGGGAAGCAGTTATTTCAACCCGAATGCCTGTGTGCACACCATGTGCAAGACCAAGGGAGGGGCAATAAAGAAGAGTCCAAAATGTACCTGGCACTTATCCAGGAGAAGAAGCAAAAACGTTAGCTGGTTTCTAGCTATGACGCAGGTGGCAAAGTTGCCAATGCCGTAACACACACACTTCCAACCGCAGGGCCCCGGGACCAGGGTCTCTCCTGGGATGGAGCCAGGGGCCACATCTGACTCATCTGGTGATGAGTCGAGGTGCAGGTTTCCAATGGCTTCGGAAAGAGTCCCCACAGGGGCAGTCAGTTGTTCCAGATGTTTCATAAGACATTTGTTGATGGTTTCTGAAAGAGCACGCCCCCAAATGGTCAGAGCGCATGCTCTGACCCCGTGAACCAGACCACCCACAAAAGCAGCCCACAGGTGCGGGGAGAAGGGAGCAGGGCAGTAACAGCTTCAGCTCCTCAGAATGGCTGCCGGCTCCACTCCCAACATGCCTGGGGCATGCTGCTGTGGCCACCGAAAAGTGACAAGCTGTCCAGGTTCCTGGACCCCGTGGCCTACAACCTCAGAGAAGGTTTCAAGAAGAAATAGCTTTCATTTATGGGCACAGTTTCCATCTAAAACTCTAATGTAAACTCACTCTAGTTTAACAGGAGGTCCCTGGTAAATGAAGATTATGTCCTGAAATTCCAACTTTTTATTTTATTTTATTGTAACAAGGAATAGAGGAACAGAGCTCTCAACATCACACTATAATGGCTGGGAGTAGGAATATTTAATGTGTAAAAAGTTAAAAAAAAGGTAGGCCGGGGCTCCTGGAGTCTAACAAAATACATCCTCTTTAAATCTCATACAGAGGTGGGTTCTCTCGTCTCTCCTTTATTATACTGGTGCTGAATTTAGTTGCACAAATCTGTATGCAAAACAAAGCAAGAAGCAACAAGCTATACATTCCCACAAGAAGATACCAGTTTTCACTTACCAGCAAAGATATCTTTAAGACCCCAGCCAGAAAAGGTTGCATGAAAAACTGGCTCTTTTAATCCTTGCTGGTAAAAGGCTTTTGGAAAACAACTAGACAACGTTTCACTGAATAATTTCATTTCTGGAAGTATATCCCAAGAAGATCAACCTAAACTTGATAAAAGCTTTATGCATAAAGGTGCTCACTGTGAACTTATAACTAAAAAACAAAGGAAACAAACTCAATGACCCTCAATAAAAATCAACTACTGTAAGTCTACTCCATGTATTAATATTTATGTTCCCACACATAATGTTTAGGAAGAGATTATAACTGCATGGGGAAAAAAGTGTACACTGCAGTCTCAAGAAAAAAGAGCAGGATAAATATAAATTTCAACAATAACGATAATGACAGCTAACATTCATTACTTCCTATGCAGCCAGAAACCATCGTTCTAAGCACTTAACTAAACAGTCTCATTTAATACTCAAAATTACATCACAGGATATGTACTACCATCTCCATTTCACAGATAAAGAAACCGAGGGTCAGAGTTACGAGCCAAAAACACACAGCTGTAAGGGGGAAGTCAGTCAGAATTAGCACCAAGCATGTACAGCACTCTGCGATGCAAAATGTCATCAAATGAGGGTGGGATTCCTTTCTTTGCCCATGTTTAGGCCCTCCTCCCACCCCTACCACCCTCTCAGCCTCGGCGAGGTGGTACTCACCTAGTGCTGAACTCCAGAAATCAGAAATAAGCAGGTCTTCCCTGTTGGAAGAAAATGGCATGGTCATCTCCCATTCTTCTCAGGACTGCCCTAACAGGGACCCTCCTCCTGTCCATAATCTGGACGTGGGGAGCATGCTGAGTGCCGTCAGACGCAGAGCCCACCCTCGAGTGACAGGAGGAGGGTACATGGTGAACATGTGCAGAGCCAGAGCACAAACTGCTGTGGCTCAGAGAGGGCTTCCTGGAAGAGGCCCCATTTCCCGGGGATAGGTCTGGGTCTGTCCTGTATCCTTGGTCCACAACAGAGCTTGGCAGAGAGGTGCAGCTCCATAAATAGTTGTTAAATGCAGATTTAATCTGTGCTTTAGTTTCCTCAGCCCTAAAATGGGATTAGAATCATACCTATCACAGAGGGTTCCAGGAGGGATTAAATGGGTTTACACTCAGCACGGTGCCCCAAACAGACCAGGTACTCAATAAATGTCCTTTGTTATTATAAGTAATTCCAAGGTGAACATAAAAAAAGAGACAAACCAAGGGTCTGGGCTTGCCTTATTCAAGTCAACTGGTTTCCACAAACCCAGAGCAAAACATAGTCAACAGTGAATTAAAATGAACTGAATGAACTCTCCAATCAAAAGACACAGAGTGGCTGAATGGATTAAAAAACAAAACCAAACCCATCGATCTGCTGCCTACAAGAGACTCACTTCAGATGTAAGGACACACACAAGCTGAAAGTGGAGGGATGGGAAAAGATACCCCATGCAAACGGAACCCAAAAGGAAGCTGAGATAGCTATACTTCTATCAGCCAAAATAGGCTTTAAAACAAAGCTAAGCCCAAAGTTAGTAGAAAGGAGGAAAAAACAAAGAGTAGAGCATAAATAAATGAAACGCAGAGCTATTATAACATATCACAGAAATACACCAAGCAAAAAAGCTGCTGCACAACAAAAGAAACCATCAACAAAGCAAAAAAGCAAGCAACGAATGGGAGAGGATATTTGCAAATGATACTTCTGATACGGGGTTAATATCCAAAATATATAAAGGATTCATACCACTCAACAAAAATACAAACAACCCAATTGAAAAACGGGCAGAGAATCTGAACACAGACACTTTGCCAACAAAGACACACAGGTGGCCGACATTCACAGGACAAGAAGCAACAAGTGCTGGAGGCAGGGCGGAGAAAAGGGAACTCTTTCGCACTGTTGGTGGCAATGTAAACCGGTGCAGCCACTATGGAACACAGTAGGGAGGTTCCTCAAAAAATGTAAGAATAGAGCTGCCATATGACCTCTTCTGGGTATCTACCTGAAAACTTTGAAAACACTGATTTGTAAAGATACGTGTACCCCAATGTTCGCTGCAGCATTATTTACAACAGCCAAGGCATGAAAACAACCTAAGTATCCTTCGACACATGGCTAAAGAAAATACAGTACATACAGACGATGGAATATTACTCGGCCATGAAAAAGATGCAATGTTGCCATTTGGGCCGCCGCTGTAATTGCAATAAGAGGAGCGACCGCCTTTATTGGGCGCTTACTGCAATTCGGGCTCTAAGGCGCCCTTTACCTCCGTGAAATCCTCGCAATAACCCCTTCAAGGCTTTGCGCGCCCTCCCACTTTACAGATGGCGAGACTGAGGCTCCGAGAGGCTCCCGCGGGCCTGAAGAAGATTCGGACTCGGGGCGGACCCGACACTCACTCCGCCTCCCGGATGCGACGAAGCACGACTCCGCCGCCCACCTCGGGCTCCGCCTCCGGGCCCC